GTGAACGGTGCGGTTGAAGAAGTTCACCGGGTGATCCTTGCTTCGCAGCCATGACATGCCCAAGATCATGTCGAATTTGGTGTCCAGAATGTCGAAGGACACCGCCTCACTTGCGTGAGGGGCAAAGTACACTGGGACGGCGTCAATGCACCAGTCGATGGACTTGTGCGTATGACCGTCTGCCAGGGTGACTTGCGTAGGCTGGGACTTCCTCCGGACACGTGGGCCAAGGCCGGCGCGTACCATGAAGTCCTCGCTGATGTAGTTGCGAGACACTGCAGGTCGCCTCTCCAATCTGAATGCGTATGTATAGCAATGGTGCGTCGATGTTGTCGTACCGTTGCGTCTTGAACTCGCGGTCGATCTTCGCGATGAAAGTGTGAAGGTCGACAACCTCTGCTCCGGCGTCCATCAACGGAGCTGGTACTGCAGTGTGCAAGTAGTCCCGCAATTGTGCCATAAGTACGTTGCAATGCGGTTTCGGCAATCGTCCGGTCGAGGGAACGGGCATCCACTGGAAGTTCGTGAACGTCAATTGGTCGAGCTCTTCAAGTGTTGATCATGACGTCGAATCCCCGACGATAGATGGCGGCGAAGCTGCCGAATCGGTTGCCGATGGTGATGAAACCGTGCATGCGGTGGACTGTTGCACGTGGAGCGGTTGGTCCAGCGGTGGAACCAAGTGGACAGCATAATCCTCGTAAGTATACCGAGGACTTGCGACATTCGCATCCTCCCCAGATGTGTAGGAGGCCGCTAGCAAGGTGGCCGAATCTGGCGGAGTAGAAGGTGGAGTCGCCTCACCTTCCGCGGAGCTCAGTTTCCCGAGCTGAGGCGGGGTCGCACATCCTCCTTGCCCTGATCTTGGCACAGGGAGGTCTTTTGCTTGGTGCTGTTGCACCAGTAGCAGCTGCCGTAGCAGCCGCGGACCTTGTACTCCGCCTTGGTCAAGCTAAACTTGACCCATGGAAATTGTCCTGGCTGTCCATTTCCGGCCTGCGATGCGGATTTCGCCTTCCCATTGTTGCGGGACTTGTTGATGCTTCGCGGTTGGACAACAACCACCTGATCTCCGTCACTTGATGCTGGAGTGGCTGCTGGGTTATCTCTACTGTCCTGCTGGACTGCAGCGAAGTACTGCTGTCGCGGACCAGTTCGTACCTTTTCCACATAGGTCGGCTGCCGTGATGTTGATTTCTCGTGTGCAGCTGACCTGTTGGTCTTGATGATCTCCCTCGCTTTGTCGATGATCTCCGTGAAGGTCGAGTACTGCTCGCGATCACCAAGAGCCTGGCTCAATGCAGCACAGGACCTGTTGTAGAACTCACGACGTAGATGCTCGAATGGTAAGTTCAGATTGGGCACAACTGCAATCTTCTTCCACTCCGTGAGCCAGTCCCCTGTTGCTGTGTTGCCCTTGGACATGGTGAACAGTCGGTTGATGGCGAGTGCTGGCGCGTCGTCGACGATGAACCGCTTCTTCCACAGCCGTGTCAGTTCCTCCCATGTGATTACATCCTTCAAGTCTGGTACGTCGACGCCATGGGAGGTTGCCAGGTGGGGCAACCAGGTTTGGCATCCGCCCTTTGAGTTCAGGAACAGGGCGCCGATGTACGCATGCTTGTCTACGGGCAGAATCCTGAGTTGCGTTGTGAATGCTTCCCACCCGAGGACCGGATCCTGCTGCGTGTAGTCGTCGAACCTCTCCAGAGTGAACGTTGGCATCTTATACATCTTCGGATTGCCATTTGCGTTCGTCGTCTGTAGCTGCTGGACCTCGGTCTTCAATGTATGCAGCTGACTGTTGATGGTGGTGGTCGGCGCAGCGAACGTGCTGATGTCGCCGAGCATTGCCACTATGTGGTCAACGCGGTCCTCCAGTTGGCAGCTAGAGGGTGCACTGCTGGAAGCCCTAGCAGCTGGTCCTGGTACAGCCTGTTCCAGGTCCAGCAATCGAGTATTGAGTGCCGGAGTTGCATACTCGTGGCTCTGCACCATGTGGCGGAGCTGTGCCGTCGGGTCCTGGTACTGTCTCTCCAACTCTGACCGTTGGTAGTTGCAAGCATACAACAACCGTGTCACGAGTTTGGAGAGGAACTCCTTGTGCTTCTCTTCCGGCGTTGCCTCGTCGCCGTTCGGTTCAAAATGCCAGTACTTGAGTGTGTCGATGCTGTTGGCTTCATGCCGCTGCAGCAGATCCTGGGCTTCCTTGCGGCGAGCCTGGGCATCTGCGTCTGCATCGGCCTGTAGCCGCAGATGTTCTGCTTCTGCTGCCTCTTCAGCCTGTACGCGGGCAGCCTCAGCTGCCAGCAGGCGTTGTTCCTCAGCCTCAATCTGAGCGTGGAAACGCTGCTTGTAGGCGGCAAGGGACTCGTTGGGCAGTTGCCCTGGCAGGCCCGTCATGTTGCTGACGTGGCACTGCTGACGTGGCACTGCTGACGTGGCACTTTGTCTGACATGTCATTGTGTCTGTCGTGGCAGTGCTGATGTGGCACTGCTTACGTGGCACTGTCTGATGTGGCAGTCTGATGTGGCACTGCTGATGTGGCACTGCTTACGTGGCACTGTCTGATGTGGCACTGCTGATGTGGCATTGCTTACGTGGCACTGTGACCTGGCACTGCTGACGTGGCACTGCTGATCTGGCACTGTGATGGGGCACTGCTGACGTGGCACTGCTGATCTGGCACTGTGACGTGGCGCTGCCGACGTGGCACTGCACCGAACTGGGATGCATGCAAGGGTGGGTGGGAGGGAAAATGTAGGTAGGTAACCAACCCAACAAGACTTTCCTCCGGCCCTAATCAACAGATAAAATAAAAAA